CCACTGTTCTCGTCCAACCCCTTGCTCAAGCAGGAAACCCTCTGCCTTTTCAGACATATGATTCTCCAATCTGTTCTTAAATAGATGGATAGGAGAGAGAGAGAGACACAGAGACACACACACAGAGAGAGAGAGAGAGAGAGAGAGAGAGAGAAAGAGAGAGATAGTTTGAAGTTTGAAGTTTGAAGTTTTATTTTATTTATATGCCGCCCTATTCCTTAAAAGGGACTCAGGGCGGCGAACAACTCCAACAGGAAGGGGAGCATGCAAATACAAAATAGACATTTAAAATAACCAACAACCACACCTGTCGAGAGGGGAAGGGAGCTCATCAGAGATAGGGAGGGAGGGAGGGAGGAAAAACTGGTGCTAAATCTTTCTTTAATGGTTCTTTCCCTCTTGCTCCTGGGGAAGGGAAGGAGCCCCCCAGGGGCCTTGTTGAGGTGACTCCTCTCTGGGCCCCTTTCATGTCCTTCTGGCTGTTGATGCCCCCTCCCCCTCTGATCTTTTGTCCCCTGGCAGCTCACCGTTTACCTGGGCAAGAGAGACTTCGTCGACCACATAGATCTCGTCGACCCGGTTGGTAAGTGTGTGTGTGGGGGGGTTGCAAGCGGAGTCAGTGGCCGCAGCTCCATCCAGTAACCGAGATCAGAATTTGTGGACAGAGAGGAAGGATGCTCCCCACTTGGATCCGAAGCTGAGCTGAATGGGGGGGGGGCATTTCCAGAGGAAGGGGTGCCCTGCCTTGAAGATGATCCAGGGTAGATGACGTTTCAGGCCTGGGAGGGGAAATCCATAGGGATCAAGGCCAGGGGTGTCAAACTGAAGGCCAGGCTGGAAACCACAAAGGGCCACCCCCGCAGTGCCTCTGTCTCTACCATCGAAAATTGAGCTCCAGTTTTTGGACGTGACAGACTCCCGCAGCCCTCTGCCAGTAAAAAAAATGGGACGTGGGGGACCGCCCGCGCCCCCCTGCACCCCATTTTTGCTGGCAGAGGGCTATCGAAACAAACTAAAACAAAACAAAAGGAGAAATGTTTTCCCTTTTGCATTTGGGCATGCGAGAAGGGACAGGAAAGGAGGAAGGAACAGAGGAAAGATGAAGAAAAAGAAGGGAAGATGGGAAGAGAGCAAGGAAGGAAAAAGGAAGGGAAGGAGAATGAAGAGGGAAGGAAAAAGAAAAAAATGGAAGGAAGGGAGGAAGGAAGGAAGGGAGGAAGGAAGGAAGGGAAAGGAAGGAAGGAAAAAGGAAAAAGGAAAAGGGAAGGAAAAAGAAGAAAAGAGAAAGGAAGGAAGGAAAAGGAAGGAAGGAAGGAAGGAGAAAGGAGAAGAAAAGGGAAGGAAGGAAGGAAGGAGAAAGGAGAAGAAAAGGGAAGGAAGNAATATGCTGACTCTCTGTAAACCGCTTAGAGAGGCCTGAAAGGCCTATGAAGCGGTATATAAGTCTACTGCTATTGCTAAGTCTACTGCTATTGAATCCCACCCCGTTTACAGCCCTCTCTAAGCAGTTTATAGAGTCAGCATCTTGCCCCCAACAATCTGGGTCCTCATTTTACTGACTTCAGAAGGATGGAAGATTGAGTTAACCTTGAGCCTGGTGAGATTCGATCTGCCAAACTGCTGGCAGACGGTGATCAGCAGAAGTAGCCTGCAGTACTGCACTCTAACCACTGCGCCACTGTGGCTCATTATCTTTGTTTGCCTCTTCTTATGTGTCTACCAGAAATAAGAAACTGATTTTTGTATAATTGAATTTTTCCCTTCCTTCCTGGTTGATTTTTAAATTGTTCTCCTGTTATAACCATATTCTAATTCACTGTTCAACTGTTCCTTAGGGATCCATATAGTAACAGGGGTATAATTTAATTATTGATGTCTTTGTCATTTCTTAGAAGATTTGAATCAGAAAGAAATGATATATCTATTATCCATACTGTTTTACTATTTCATTTTTCTTATTTAGTCCTCTTAAAAGGCAGCAGTTTTAATAAATTTTTAAATATAATTTGTCACTTCTCGCAATGATTGTACAAAGTTGCCTTCTTTATTTGTATATTGTAAAAAAGTTGTCTTCTCTCTCTTTCTATCTGCAAGATACATTAGGTGTTTCACATTTAACTATTGAAGTACTCCACCAAACCACAGATTGGGTTTCTTCACCTTTTATTTCCTTAGGGACAGTTCCAGGTCTCCTTCTCTATCTTTTGCTTCTACTTCTAAGTAATGCAATACAGCACTGCAACAACCAGCAGTGTGGATTTCTAATAGTATATAGTATGTTCTTACTAATACCTTGCAAGCTCATTTTTCTTGAAGAATTCCATTCACTTGTTTGCTTTCAGCATGGTGAAGATTGAAACATGCGTGAGAATTGCAGTTCAGCAGTATTGAAGAGACGCAGGCTCCCCCATCCTGCTGTATTGCTTTTCCTTTATCCACTGAGTAGGTAGTTTCTATAGTGTAAGTCACTAAGCTACACTTCACAGGTAGTGCTTGAGCTTTCTGAAATGTGATTGTCTGACAAGAGCTGGTGTAATACTGTATACACGTCAAATCCTTCCTAGTTGAAGCCTGATAAAATTCCTGTTGCAATGCTCAAAGGAGATGTCATTTCTAATGTTGTGACTGTGAGACAGATACAGAAGAACATACAGGAGAGGTTTTATCGATCATTTACAGACTGACTTGAGACTGCTGAGCTTTCATATAGGACTAGTGGACCACCTTCTCCAGAAGTTCAGAAACAGATGCTGAGGGTTGCCCTTAATAAAGCGCCTACCATGTCTCCTTTGCTCCTTTGCGGTTGACGTGATGTGCCAGTGCCTCGAGGCCGTTAGGGACTGGATGGGGGTTAACAAGCTTGTACTCAATCCGGATA